ATGGACGTTGGTTGGAGGAATGAAAAGGAGGGATAAATGTAATAACCAGTGAAAGCGTTACCTATATAGAATTTAGCAAGTATTTGGAAGTGGTGAAATAGAGGTAGGAGGTGACAAAAGTGGCTGTGCTGTTATGAATCTGGATTGTTCGAACAGTGATAACACTACTAGCACAAAAGGGCAGTCAGACAAAGAGGAAGTTTTGTGGAGGAGGGTGGTTTCGAATATCTTTAATGTCAGATTGGATTGCAGGGGAATATCCATGAAGCAATACTCAAAAGGCAGTTGCAAGTATGGGTTTGAAGAACAGTCGTTCAATAAATATATATTGAGTGTCTCCTATGTTTAGTAACTTCCATGTGCTTTATCAGCTCAAAATTGAGTAAAACATGACTTCTGTCCTTATGGAGCTCGGCATTTGAACCAGGGAAATAAATAGGCCTCAAATGTGTAATTACAAGGCATGTGTCAGAAGTAATGTAACAGCAGAGTATGAGCAGCTGCTGTGAGAGCACAGAGGAGAAAGCTATGTCCGTATCTTTGATATGGTTATATAGAAGGGATTCACCCAGACTATTAAAAGGAAGTTTAAGTGACCAAAACCATATAAACCTGTGACATTATTCCCGGCACGATGGGGATGTTTCTTAGAAATGAGGACTTAATCAAGGGAACAAAGGGGCGAATACAAATCTGTGAACAGAACCTCGAGGCACATATATGTTTACAGGATAGGAAAAGGTTGGCAAGGCAGTGAAGAACACAAACTCTGATCCCAGAAACTAAAACAGGAGATTCAAGACACAAAAATGTTTGAGAGTGACCAAGAGCTTAGGAAGATTTAGGATTGCTAAAAGTCCACTCAGTTTAGTGATTCAGACTATTGACATTTCAAAAGTGTTTCAGTATCAGAATGAAAGAGTTTCAGTTCATGAAAATGTATAATAATATTTATTATAAAAATAAAAGAAACAATGGTCTTTTATAATGTACATTAACTTTTAATTTGTGTTTACTTATAAAATACAGATGAATTCATAATTTACAGAGAAATTCAATCACATAGAGTGAATATAAATATTTTCATGAACTTAATTTTTTTTTTTTTATTTGAGAGGCAGAAAGACAGGGAGAGCCCCCATTTACTGGCTCACTCCCAAATGCCTGTATCAGCCTGGACAGTGCTAGGCTGAAGCTAGAAGCCAGGAACTCAATCTGCATTTCCCACTTGAATGACCAGGACCCAACAAACTGAGTCATCACTTGCTGCCTCCCAGGTGGTGCAGTTGTAGGAAGCTGGAATCAGAGCAGAGCCAGGATTCAAACACAGGCACTCCAGTGTGGGTTGCAGGCATCTAAATCAGCTTAATCACAAAGCCAAATGCCCACTCCCCAACTTGGTTTTAAGAAATATTATCAGGAACTCAGGAAATGGCCCATGAGATAGAGTTCAGCCATTGGATTAAGCAGAGGTTGATGGTGATCTTTGAAAACCATTTTCAGAAGAGTACTAAGGGCAAAATGTTAAACTCAGAAGGATCTAAGTACATGAGAGAAAGTAGAAAAAGATAACAGCAGTTCTCAGAAACTCTGCCTCTCCTTCAAAAGCTGCCCCATTATCTGACTGCTCTTCCTTCCTTCAGTTGTCAGCCTAAAACTTCCTACCCCAGACAGACCTTCCTGGCCAACCTTCTCAAATTAAAATAGGTTCCTCTGTTATACTAAGACACCATTGTTTTGCTCTATAAAAGCCTATCAGAATCTGTTATGGTGCTTATGTGTTTATTAAATGTCTATCTTCCTTACCAGACTGCGGATAGGCACCATGAAAATTTGCTTTCCACTTTACATTCCAGTTTTATGACAGTGTTGGCACATAGGTGTCTTTAAAGAAGCATGTATCGAATGAATTATGAAGAAGGATAAGATGTGATGTTCCATAGCCAGTTTCTTGGAGATAGAATAGTTACAAGAATGTCAGAATCCAACTGTGGATGTGGGTCACTGATGTAGATTTTTGATGAAGATTTGGGAAAATTGAAGTTATACTTTTAAAACAATTACTCAAATCCCTATTGGACCCATTGGGAACAAGGGTGGGAAGAATGAAAAGCAGAGACTGATATTTTAAAATAAGTAGATGACAAAATGGGAGAAAGCTGAAAGAAAGCAGTTGGGATAAAACAATTAGAGTAGTGGAAAACATGAATTGAAAGTAGGATACTACCTTTGGTTCCTTATCAGGTGAACGAGACTTTGTAGAGGATTATGAGCCAAGGGCAATAGAATGGACCCACATTTCAATTAAGTTAAGATACAGATTGCTTATAGAAGTAAGGGAAAGAAAATATTGGAGAGTGTGTTCACAGGAAAAGAGAGGTATCATAACATACAGCGTGACAGGACTAATGCTAGGGAAGACCTGGAGACGAATGAACTGTCTTACAATGGGTACTTAACTACAGTGTAAATGCTGCGTAAGTGTTCACTGGTTAGTAGCTCATTCAGTGTAAATTCATCACCATTTCTAGAGAAATAGTATGAAGGTACTCCAAAGTGAGGAATGCTATAGCAAATAAGGATTGTTTGTTACGTAGCCCTATGTCTTAGGATAAAATTACATATAAATATGCTTATATTATTTACTGTAAATTTTTCTACTAAAATATCTACTACTATGTTTAATGCCATCATGTAGTATTACAAATTGTACACAATAGTCACAGCTACTTCCAGAAATTCTGGGTTCTGGAAGAGGCTACTTTGCTTAGTATTTTTTTTTTAATTATTTATTTGAAAGTCAGAGTTACACAGAGAGATGGAGAGACACACAGAGAGAGGACTTCCATCCACTGGTTCACTCCCCAGTTGGCCGCAACTGCCTGAGCTGTGCCCATCCAAAACCAGGAGCAAGGAGCTTCTTCCAGGTCTCCCATATGGGTGCAGGGGCCCAAGGCCTTGGGCCATCTTCTACTGCTTTCCCAGGCCACAGCAGAGCTGGAGCAGCCGGGTCTTGAACTGGTGCATATGGGATGCCGGCACTACAGGCGGTGGCTTTACCACTATGCCACCGCACCGGCCCCTGCTTAGTATTCTTAAAGCTTACTAACAGATCTTAGACAGCCTTTAAGATTGTTAACAAAAAATGGTGATTCTGAAATAAGTAATTTTAATTTGTGTATTTTAAATACAATCTAAAGTTTGGGTGGTTTTTAAATTTAATTGGTGCAGCTTTTAGGCAGCTCTAAATACCTTGCTATGTTACAGTTACAGTGTCATGACATGGGTTTGTTTATAAGGTGATTGGACTGAAGAGTGCCATCTTTGGTTATGAAAAAGTTGTCTGTTCTCTGGGCAAAACTCAAGGATTCCTATGGGAGTTCTGTGAGAGACACTGGCCTGAATCACATTGTGCTTTACTACCAACAGCTTTGGTACATACCACCTGGTGCTTTGTGGTGTTCTGTGTCCACTCCAGACCAAAGACTGGGCCAGGTGTGTTTCATAGTAGATTAAGCCACTGCTTGGAACAGCCCTATCCCATGTGTCATTGGAGGCTCAGCTCCTCCAATTCAGATCCAGCTTCTTGCTAAGTCATCCTGGGAGGCAGAGGCTGACGACTCAAGTGCTTGGGTCCCAGGCACCCACATGGGAAACCCAAATGAAGTTCTGAACTCATGGCTTTGGCCTGGCCAAGCCCTGGCTATTGTGAGCATTTGGGAAGTAACCCGCAAATGGACTATCTCTCTGTGTCCCTGTAGTTCTGCCTTTCGAGTAAATGAAAATAAACATTTATTAAATAAATAAAAGGGGGCTAGTGCTGTGGCCTAGTGGGTAAAACCGCCACCTGCAGTGCTGGCATCCCATATGGGTACCAGTTTGGGAACCAGCTGCACCACTTCCGATCCAGCTCTCTGCTATGTCCTAGGGAAGCAGTAGAAGATGACCCAAGTCCTCAGGCCCCTGAACCCAAATGGGAGACCTGGAAGAGTTCCTGGCTCCTGGCATCAGCGCAGCTCCAGCCATTGCAGGCATTTGGGGAGTGAACCAGCAGATGGAAGACCTCTCTCTCTCTGCCTCTGCCTCTCTGTAACTCTGTCTTTCAAATAAATAAATAAATCTTTAGGAAAAAATGTTCTCTATGATATCCATATAAAGTCATATATTAAAACATGCCTCTTCCCATTTTTTCTTTTTTTAATCAATTTTTTAAAGTTTGGTACATGAGCATTATGGTATTATAATAATAAATAGACTGAAATAATGGCTCCTTGGTTATTAGGGAAGAATTCATTTCTTGAATAGGAGATGCCTTGGAATTGTCATCATTGTATAACTAAACATGGGTACGTTATGGCTTCAGTAGTTATTGTTAATCATGACTCAAAGCACCTGGTAGGGTAATTCTTGGTATTACAAAAGCAGTGCTGCTGAGGGGGAACATGGTTATCAGCCGCAAAGTTTTGCATGTGTGAATAGTTATTACCAAGGTGGAAAGTAAAGAGAAACTTTTGGCTTTTATCTGTACTTTTTCTCACCACTTGATTTTTTTTAATCTTCTTGGTATCTGTGAATAGTCTGTTTTTATTTAAACAATGACATTTAGAGTTGTTGCATTTAGGTTTTCTTTACTAAAATTCCCTGATCTCTTGAAAAAAAGAGAACGATATCTATGATATTTGTGATTTATTTTTTTGAATCAGTCAAAAACTGATTCAAAAGTTTTTGATGATCATATAACAGTAAATGTGTTAGGAGTCAGGGCATGAGTTTGATTCAGTATTTCTCACAGATTTTCAGAGGAATGGTCTGCCTTCAGTCTTGCTATCTCTTAGCAAATTATTTTCTTTTCTTGCCTAATTCAGAGTGTGGTAGAATAAGAGATTTGCATTTAAAAAGCATATAACCGGTTCCCCGTCGTCCTGTCCAAAGTTAGCTCTTCATTTTGCTCTGGGTGTGGATTCAGCCGACAGCACACTAACCGTGATCTCTCTTCACAGTGGGCAAACCTCACAAGTGCAACTACTGTGGGCGGAGCTACAAGCAGCGCAGTTCACTGGAGGAGCACAAGGAGCGCTGCCACAACTATCTGCAGAACGTCAGCATGGAGGCTGCGGGCCAGGTCGTGAGTCACCATGGTGGGTAAAAGACGGTCCTGACCTTCGTGCACGCCTGCACTGCCTGGCTGGCTCTTTACGGGTTGCCTGGCTTCCGTCCACTCTTCGATTTCGGGTCACATTAACTTAGCGTTGTAAGCATTTGAAGTGAATTGAGTTTTGGGATACCCTGCAGACAAGCTAGACTGAGTTTTTGTGATGCTCCCAGAGTATTTCTGGTAAAGACTTTGGATTTACATAATAACAGCAGCCAACTTAATACACCTAAGGAATCGACCATTGACTCTTCTCTTTTGTTTCTCTAATCACATAGTTAGACATGGTTCTGCACAAATCTAGCTTTCTAAAAGGATGAATTGATAATTTGTATTATTTCATCTGCATTTGCTAGGTGATCAGTGATGTAATTCTAGATGTCTCTAATCTATCTCTTAATTTATCTGAGAAATTACTGATTTTACTTTCTACGAGTGTGAGAATCAGAACACACCAAAATTTCACACCATCTCCCTCTGCAAAAAAACTCCTCCCAAACATCCTAATCTCTGCAATGCACTATGACTCATAGAAAGCCAGTTCCTAAGGCTTATCAGTAATTCTCCATTCCTAAATTTTTGGTAAATCAGCATCACAAAGGAAAGTAACAATTGTCTATCCTGTTATTAATTATATTTAATACTAATTGATCTTATTCACACAAATATCTTAATTAATGCATTTATATCTTTTATTTAAAAATATTTAGCCACTCTTAAATGGTATGGTTTGGGGTAGGTGTTATGGAACAGAGAGTTAGCCCACTACTTGGGATGCCCACATCCTCTATCAGAGTGCTGGTTCAAGTCTGGGTAGCACTTCCAGCTGCCAACTTGTGGGAGACCCAGATGGAGTTCCTGGCTGTGGCTTGGCCCATCCTTGCTATTGCAACACTTTGGGGACAGAAACAGCCAGTGGAAGATCTCTCTTTGTCCCTCTCTGTCACTTTGCTTCTCAAATAAAATGTTAAATAAAAATAGTAGAATTTGCTATAGTCACTTTTAAAATATAAATATTCATTTTATTAAGTTAGATATAACTAGCTCAAGGATTATTTGTAGATTTCTGTCTCATGTACATACTGCAGAATTGTATTCATTGGACAGTTAGTGTTGATTTGTTAAATTTGAAATTTTTGATTTTAAAGTATTTGTTATCCTGAACTATTGGAGCCTTTCCCTGTGTTGATGATGGTTTTTATAACTTAATTCATTCCTTGATTGAATCTATTTATTTATTTATGTAGTTATGTATTTATTTGAAAGAGAGAGAAAAAGCACTCTCCCCTCCATTGGTTCACCCTAAAATGTCCCCAGTGGCCAGGGGTAGGCCAGGCCCAAAGCCAGGAGCCAGAAACTCAGTCTGGATCTGCCACATAAGTAGCAGGGATCCAAGTACTTGAGCCATCACCTGCTGCCTCCCATGGTGTTAGATTAGCAAGAAGCTGGAATCTGGAACACAACCAGGACTCAAACCTAGTCACTGAAATATGGGATGCAGAAATCCAAAGGAGTATCTTACTGAAAGCCAAATGCCAAACCCTATTTTTATATTGCCATTATTAACTAATACTACAAATCTGTGAGTGCTTCAAATTTTAGTAAATTCAGTATTTCAAGCTTGTTTTCCCTTGGCTTGTGGGGGTAGCATAGGTTCCAGAGCCTGACTATGTGATGTCTGAATGTGTTGTTACTCATGGACTTGTTCTGAGAATTAAATGTGTTGGGGGTATAAAAATATCCAATAGATGGTTCTTTTTACTGTTACATCTTAGGGCATTAAACACTAAGAAACAGTCAATGGGAAAATTGTTACTTACATTCTAAGCATTAGAGGATTTACGGATTTATTTGCCTACCAAACACACTGTTTCTGTTTAAATTGTTTTTAAGGGTGTCTTATTTAAGGCAGGGAGCCCAGGGAGGCTTGAGAACATGCCAGAGATCCTCAGACACCTCATGGCATTGTTGCTGAGTTTTCCTTATATTCTCCCATTGTAGTTCTGCCATTTATTTGGATCATAAACATGCAAATATTGTTGATTAATTTATTTTTCTACTCAGTTATTTATGGAATTCTACATTGTATACATACCTGAATAGGCAATAGCGTCTCCCATGAAAGAGTTAAGTTATAAATGAGTAATCTTAATTAGCATTATTTGTTAGCAGGCTCACCTGTTATAAACACTGACAAAAAAATAAATAGTGTATCGTAGGGGGCGAAAAAGACATATATTCAAAGAACTGGGGCTGCAGTATTACCTCCTGGTTCCTCAGATTGCTTACCCCTTGACAAAAACAGGCCTTCTATGGGCAATGCCTTTGTTGGAACAGAGTGAGGAAAAGTTGGAAAGAGACTGGGACATTGGGGTAGAGCAATGAATAAAACTAAGGAGGAGTAGGTTTTATAGTAGGTTTTGATATCATTTGTTAGACCCAAATATTTGTTCTTAAACATTAGATATTATTTTAACTACATAAATTTATATTAATGTCATTTCATACTGTACTTTATCTAGCTCATTGCCATAATAACCTGAGATTATCCTTAATCCACTTTTCCTTTTAACAAGCTTAATGGAGAATTGACGATATGAGGTAGGAGTTGATAAAGGCCAAGAGAGATAAAGGACACATAGAGAAATCCATGGGTAAAATACCACTGCAGTTCATCATTAGCCCTGTCTCATATACATGGCTCGGCATGTGTCCCCTAAACAGAGCCATGTGTTTCTCCCCACTTCCCTTGCCTCCTATCCTGCTATAACCTATTTTTTTTCTCTTCTTCTAGTGATAATATGAGGTTTGCCATCATTATGGTTGTCATTAGTTTCATGAAATGGATTACTCTGTGTGTGTGACATAGTTATATTTCCTAGTCTCTTTTCCAAAATATCTTCTTGCCCACATTGACTCTTCTAGTTAAAAAAAAAAAAAAAAAAAAAAAAAAAAATGTGAAGAAAGTCATTCTTTTACTCATTTAGGAAGTATTTATCAAGGGCTTACTGTGTGTCAAAGTTATGGAACATTTTAGGAATATCAAGGTAAATGGAAACAGTTTCTTTTATATACTTAGAGTCTGGTAGGAAATAGGTACTTTTTAAAATCAAATCAAATGAAACAAAAGCTCTGGTTTAGATGTGTGTACAACTGTCTAGGAGCTCCCTGTAGTGCTAACCTAACAATGTATGGAGAAGTCAAAGAAAGCTTCTTGTATAAAGCAGTGCTTGATCCACCTATGAGCACTGAGTAGAAATTTCATAAATTGAGAATAGGCATTTAACCCAGCAGTTAGGATGCGTACATCCCATATCATAGTACCTGGTGGGTTCAGTGACCACCCTAGCTCCTGACTCCAGCTTCCTACTAATGCAGACCCTGGAAGGGAGCAGTAATAAGTTGTTGGGTTCCTGATCCCCATATAGGAATACTCTTTGGATTTCCTGGCTCCCTGTTTTGGTCTGGCCCAGCCCAGGCTGTTGTGAGCATTTAGGGAGTGAGCCAGCAAATGTGAGCTCTGCCTGTCTGCTGCGCTTTCCTTCTTTCTGCTTCTCAAATAAAAAAAAATTTTTTTTTGAAGAAAATTGCATAGATGGAACAGGACACAGAGCATGTAAATTCCAGGCAGAGAATAGGTTTGGAGACATAAAACATCAAGATTTCTAGACATTGAGGAATAGAAGGGATGAGGCTGAAATAAGTTGTAGTACAAAGGCAGAACCTTTTGTGCTCACCCAGTGTACAGTGTTTGCAATTAATAATGTAACTGATGGGGAACCACTGAAGGAAAAAAAATTGTGTCTTCTAAAGAAAAATGTCACCAGTGTAGAGTATGGGATAGGTACCTGCCTGAGGTAGGGAGTGGGATGTGAGGAGACACTGGAAGTGATAATTCCAAGGAAATGATGACAAGCCAGTGGCAAGAGAAGATAACAGGATGCCATACTGAAGACATATTTAGGAGGTTGAATAAAACATTTTATAAATCTTGATTGGGTTTGAGGAAAAGGCAAGAATTTCATGACTTACAGTTTTGGAAATGAAGATCACAATGAACTGGGCTTTGTGGCAGATTCTTATTTGAATGTTATCTTTATGCTCATTTTCCAAGCCTGTTCATCTTAAAGAAAAAATTTTAAAACCAAATTATGCAATTACGTTTTTCTTCCTTGCCTAAAGACAAAAATGAAAGTGTGAATCAGTAAAACAGCCAACTTTGAGACAAGTTCTTAGGCTTATGGTTTAAATTATTCAGGAAAGGGTGATTCTTTATCAAACAAATAGAGGCATAATTGGGAACTTGCCAACTTTCTAGTAAGGTTTTTGATTCATTTCCATTGGGTGAAAACATTGACTTCGTTATGTCATTCATTAAACCTCGGCTGAATATTACATCTGTCTTGCATCACAAAAGGTACTAGAGACACAAAGTCAAAACATAATCCTTAAGGTTATTTACTACCTATTTGAAGAAATAACCCAGAAGTCTAAACATTGAAACTGCGCATAATAAGCAGTACAAATCAGACTGGTTGTCCAAGAAGCGTTTCCAGGAAAAGTTACATTGGAGCTGTTTTTGAAAGGCAAAAACAGCAAGCTATTATGGGGAGTCTTCAAAAAGTTTATGGAAATGCATATTATGAAAAATTTATGCATGAATTTTAAAAACTTTTGCACCAAAATAAACTTATATTTCAATTCCATTTTTTCATGAACTTTGGAAGAAATAGACAGCTAAAAGAGCATGGACAATTAAGGATAATAAAATACCTTTGTGTCCTTGGAGCCCAGATGGTAAGGATGAGAGAAACCAAAAGGTGATAATACTAGAGAAATAGACTCTGGACAGAATATCAAAAACCTGTTGTGCTAAGCAAAGAATTTTGTACTTTGTTCTAAAAAGACAAGATTAGATTTACATTTTGTTGCTGGAAATATGGGAAGTGGATCAGAGAAGTCAAGAGGCAAGTAGACCAAGTAGGAGATTGTCACAGTGATCAAGGTGGGTTAAGTAGCCTGGAACATTCAGAAAGGTTAGATAAGTGAAGAAAGATAATAGAAGATAAGAAAGATAATAGAATGATAAGAAAGATAATAGAAGAAAGTTTGTGGAGGAAAATGACAATTTCAGTTTTTGAACACATTATCTCTTTGTGCCTGTAAGCCAGCCAATAAAAACTGTCTAGAAGGAAGCTGAATATACAAAGCTCAAGTTCTTGAGAGGGTTCTGGGAAGGAAATAAAAAATGTGGGAGGCATCAATATATACATAATAGCCTGAAGTAATGGGTTTTTAGAAGGTGTCCTGGTCTATTTTGTGTTGTTATAGCAAAATACCTGAGGCTGTTACTTTATAAGGAAAAGAGGCTTATTTAGACTCATGGCTTTGGAGGCCAAGGAGCATGGCAGTGGCAATGGCTTCTGGTAAGATCTTCGTGGTGGATAGTAACACATGGCAGCAGCACAAGTGAGCTTGGGGAGATAGGAGATGTCACTTGGCATGAAGGTAAACAAGAGAGTAGGGAAAGACCAGGTTCATTCTTTTATAACAATCTGCTCTTTCAGGAATTAATCTGTTCCTGCAAGACTACCCACTCTGCCAGACTGGCATCAAGTCTCTCCTGAGGGCTATGACCTCAGTAACTAAATCAACCTTCTACTAGGCCCTACCTCTCCAAGGTTCTACCCACCTTTCAATACCATTAAATTGACTACCAAGCTTACAGTACATGAACCTTGGAGGAATAAATTATATCCAAACCATAGCAGAATTCAACATGACTAAGTGTATAGTGAGACATTTGCAAGAGCAAAAGCACCCCAGAATTGGTGATGGGGGGAGTCATGAATGTGAGTTTAAAGGAGGTAGTAACAAGAAGAGTGATTTCACAGAAATCAGAGAAAATTTCAGCAGAAGTCAAGAAAAGTGAAAAGGTCTTTGTTTTTGTAATTTTTTTAAAGAGTTCAACCAATAGTATTAAATAGAACAAAAAAAAATACTAAAAGGGATAAAGTATTAAGTTGTTACTCGACAGTCAGGACGAGGGCTGATCAAGTCATTGTTTCTCATAATGTCCATTTCACTTCAGCAGGTTTCTTTTTTGGTGCTTGGTTAGTTGTCACCGATCAGGGGGAACATATGATATTTGTCCCTTTGGGACTGGCTTAATTCACTCAGCATGATGTTTTCCAGATTCCTCCATTTTCTCTCCCGTTGCACATGTGTATGGGGGTACCCTGGCCTCTCCTGTCCAGAGGGCAAACCCACTCCATTTCCCTTACTTTTTCTTCTTAGTATTTGAATTTTGTATGGATTATTTGGTTTAAAAAATGATATGTTAGGAATACTCTTATGCTTTTATGATTTCCTAATATAAGATAAGGATATAAGGCAAATATAAATATATTTTTGTCCTGGTGACAACTTCAAAAATAAGATCAAGTAAGATGTTCACTAACGAAATTTGCTCAAACAAGTGAAGCCAGCACATTGCTGTGTCTCTAGCATAGGTAAATGCTTCACGAGGTGATTAGTGCAGTATTGAGATATCTAACAAAATTTTGTGTTTTAAGCACTATTTATTCAGAAACAGTTCTATGAGTAGAACTCAGATCCATCAAAGCAAAAAAAAAAAAAAATTAGTTACATAGTTGGGGGGGGGATAAAATCAGGTCTTTTCCCCAATGATAGATCTTACAGATATGTCAAACTGGTGTATTAAAAGGCAGTGCTAAAAATACAAATAATAGGATAGCATAGTGGTTAAGAGCTAAGAGCCCAGGCTTTGGAGGTAGACCTCTTACTAACGACATCTCTATTAGCTAGATGTAAACCATGAGGAAATTACTTAAAATGTCTGGGTCTTTGTTTCCCCATATGAAATGTAAAAATGGTAGTGGCACATATTTCATGGGGTTGTTGAAAGAGTTAAACAAATTATGACATGCAAATCTTTAAAACAGTAGTTAGCATCTAGTATGTGTAAGTAGTTATCGCCAGTATGGTAGAAACAAGATTTTTTAGCATGTAAAGAGTTGTTGGAAAAAAGTCAGACAAAACTCTGCCAGACCTATTGTTTTCAGTTCACATGAGCTTCATTGAACTTGGGACAGATCATCTGAATTGAGGTGGATGTGGCGTGAGACAGTTCCCACACCCAGGTTTCGTTTTGAGTTTTAAATGTGTGCAAATATGAAAATTCAGGGTGGTACTTAGAGCAAAAACTGCCAAGTTTTAACTACTCATTTGAGAACTAATTAGCATATTCAAGGAGAGGGGGTAAATCCTGTTAACCAGTTTTCTTTCTTTTTTTTTTAAGTAAACTTTAGAACTATTTGTTTCCAAATTCTCACTTTGGGTCTTGATCTTTGGCCAATGCATGGACTGTTTTGTAATTGTATAGTTATCTTTAATAATATAGTAAATGCCTGTGAATCTACTGTGCAAAAGAAAAGTTAGTTTTGACTATAATCTGCATCCAAGTACCCAGTTTCCCACCACATCATTTCTACCATTCTATCTCCCACAGTCTCTCTTATCTGAATACTATGGCCATTCTTCATTTTTTTTAAATTCTTTTCTTTTGAAATCCTTTTCTGTTAAGTATTATTTCTAGTTTTTTAAAAGAGAATATAAAGCTTTATGTATCTTGGGACATACTTTTCACACTTGGATATATCGTGAATTATATCAGTGCAGAAAATAACCTAAGTGTTACTAAATCTCATCTTAGAATTTGTTTCTCCAAATTTAATACTCAGAAGTTGTGGAATCCTTTGCTATTCATAGGCAGAGGACCTCTTATTAAAATTAGATGTTAAATTTTTTTGACTCATTCACTACTTTAGCAAACACTTAGATTGAATGTTGATTCCTTTAAACAACTCCAAATTAGGAAATAATTTTGCTGCTGTTTTTCCTTTCTTCAGAATCAGCAGCCTGCATTTGCTATTAAATTCATCACCTGAATTGTGTACTTGATTTTCTTAACCTTCATCTCTTGCTTTCCATTTTATTCTAATGTCCGTCTGCAGGTTCCCCTTAAATGAGAGTATATTCTATTTTACACAGTGGGACTGTCTTATAGAAATCAATGGATTAGAGTCCATCATTTTACAGTGCCTGCTGAACAAGTGAAGATATCCAACATCAAGTCTTTAGATTTCCAAACAGTACTGGCACAAGTACAACTGGAGAAAGCAACAGCAATCAAAACTAATAAACTAGGTTTCTTGTGAACAAGCATTGGTTTTAATTTGCTGATCTGATCTTTCTGAGATATTACCCTATCTCTAAACATCCTAAGAAAGTATTTCTACTCAAAAGCAACTTTTAAAAATTCTTTGTCTATGTGAATGTCAGTATCTAATGTTGGTATCTAAAGGCTAACGTATTATCCCATAGAACTTAAACAAATGAGATAAAGAAAGAGCAGCATTGGAGAGTTTATGTCAGATGAATTAAAGCAGTTGTTTAGTGAGCCAGTGTGCCAATTTGGAAATAGATTCTTGTATTCTACTGAAGAACTGTTTTAAAATAAATTACGATCATAAAGCTGCCACAGTTTACTATGCATAGACATGTTCAAAATTGGATCTCCTTATGAAGGCTGCTTTACGCAGGTATTTAAGCACTGCCAATAGAGCTAACAGCTCATCAAATAGAAAATCTGCTGCAGAAAAAAGTGGGAGTGGAAAAAATGCTTAACTATTGTGGTGCTAGTCTGTGTTTAAGTTTTCCTCCAAAACAAGATTTACTTGTTTTCAAAAAACTGAACTCCAAAAGCCTTGGAAATAATGAAGTGCTAAAGTATTATTGATTTTAATCAATGTTAAAAACACTTACAGAGGAATAAGATGAGAAATCAGATGAATGTGTTGCCACCAAAAGTGGCAATGATTTAAATCATTGATCTGAGAGAGATTCAGATAAAAACAGATCCCATGTGTATATGTAAAATCAGAATATCCTTTTACACCAAAGTTTACTCTTTCTACTTAGTTTATTCAAGCATACTGGATAATGTTTTTATAACCTGTATTTAGATGGCAAATCCAACTTTGTATCTTACAAAATGTTGAAGACATTATCAGAATGCATTTTTATGTGGTTTTATATAGTACCTCCTATGGAAGATTGTAAGGAACAAGAGCCTATTATGGACAACAATATTTCTCTGGTGCCTTTTGAGAGACCTGCTGTCATGGAGAAGCTCACAGGGAATATGGGAAAACGTAAAAGCTCCACTCCACAAAAGTTTGTGGGTAAGCGTTACAGATGCTTTTGTCTCTTTACAAGGTCATTTTATTTGGAAAACATTAACTTCCCATGTATTAGAAATATATATGATGTATTTTAGCTCATAAAATACTCATCTCATATGTGTACACTTGCACATACACACACTCACACACACACACACATACCCTTAGGCACGAGCACATCTTTAAAAATAAAGACTGGCAGTAATTAAGTCACCATCTTAAAATGTAATGTTATACAAAATGAAATAGCATGTAAAAACTAAGTGTAATTTATTTTAAAAATAATAATGCATAGGGGAATTGGCCAACCCTATTGGGTCAGTTTTGTATCTGTTTTTAAAGTTGCATTAGTGCCAAATTTTTAACTGTTTTCTTTACATGATATTCTTTTAGTATTTGTTCTAGAATTAAGAAAAATTGTTTTAAATTCTGTTTAAAAAACTAATATAGAGGGACAAGTGCTGTGGCATAGAGGTTAAGCAACTGCGTGCAGTGCCGGCACCCATATAGGTACCAGTCCAAATCCCAGCTGCTCCACTTCTGATCCAGCTATGGAAGATAGTCCAAAAGTACTTGAGCCCCTGCACCCATGTAGGGATCCAGAAGAAGCTCCTGGCTTCTGGCATCAGCCTAGCTCAGCCTGGCTATTGCTACCATTTGGGGAGTGAACTAGCAGATGGCACTCTCTCTCTCTCCTCTCCTTCTCTCTCTCCCTCTTTCTAACTCTGCCTTTCAAATAAATAAAACAAATCTTAAAAAGAAAAAAAATACTGTAGAATCCTATATTCAAGATGTTTCATAGTTGGGACTCTATTTTCTATTTTGATCTTTGTTTTTGCATCCAGTTTATGATTTTTAATAGATTAAATATCATATATTTAAACTTTCTTTTTTCATTTCCAAACCCTTAGATGCCCTTTGATAGACCCATGTTGGCATCATTTTGAATGTGTGCTGTAAGTTATGAAGTGTCTTTGAGGATACAGCAAGTATCTTTTTTTAAAGCCATGTATGAATAACAAAGATTCAATAGAAAGAAAACCATTAAAGAATTTCATTCATTGTGTATGTAATATCTGTTCTTACAGACAATATATGACAAGAAGTATCAGAAAAAAATATATAAAACTTCTCACATTCTAGTATCAGAAAGCATTATGGGATATCCTGATTGAAAATATTTTCTTGGGTTATTTCAGGGATGAAAGGATAATAAAACATTTTTAATACAAAAAACAGAGAAAATGTTCTTTCGGACTAAAGCTGATGAACTAACTAATCACCAAAATTATCATTTTCAGACTAGCTGGAAGAATTTGTTGAGAATTCAATGAAAGAAAGCTAGAAGAGGACTCTAATGATCATAGTTCATACAAAGTCAGTTTAAGGCCCCTGAGGTGAGCCTCAAAGGCCTACCCTTCAACCCTAGCAGAACATTTTTATGTCCCTATTTCTTCCTGTTTATGGATAGCCATTAAAAAAAGAAAAATATAGTTCATTTTTAAAGATGACTATGGATGTATATGTATTATAAATCTAACTAAATTCATAAAATCTCTTTGTTACTTTTTTTCATGTTTCCTATGATTTACAGAGGCTATTCTCAATTTGATTTTCTTGAATTCCTTACAAAACAGGGACAAAGTTTTAGAAAACTACAGTATGGTTCTAAAATAATGACTTTTTAAAAAAAGAATCTGAGAGAATTTTTTCTTTATAATATGTTACTAGAATAGAATCAAAATAAACAATAACTACTCCAATGAATGCTTTCAAAACAAAACAAAAGAAAATCATCATTCCACACTCATCATAAATTCCTTTTCACATGTCCCTTAAATACTGTTTGACATTACCAACTCCTCAGGCCTATGATCCCCGAACATTCTACAGATATATTTGGCTGTTCCTCTGGCTCAGATTCCATGGCTTATCACTTCTGCCATTCTCTTGTTGATATTCCTGACTCTTGTCTTACTGCCTGTCAGTAGTGAAACCCCTTCTTTCTCATCAGGCAAACTAAGCTTTTTTTTTTTTCCATATTTATATCTCAGTTGCTAGTAACTCTGGAGAAAATCCATGGCCTTATAAGTTAATACAAATAATTGAACTCAAATACCAGGTGACCCATCCATGCTATATAGAAGTGCCCCTTTAACCCAACCCTATACAATCTTCTCTTACTCCCCCAACGACCATTTTAGCCTTTCTCTACTTTGCACAAACATGGTATCTCATTCCTTCTTGATCTTATATCCAACTTTCAATCAAACTAATCATTTCAATGGAATATCGCCAATCTGTGTGTATTCAAACAAATAACTTTGTTCATTTTTTCCTTCTTTCAATGAAAGAGTATCCCTTTACTGATTAAGGTCAATTTTTGCTTTTTTACCCTGGAAGCTTCCTCTCCTGGCCTCCCAAAGACTTCACATTATTACTTTTCCTCTTCCTCACTTATTTTTTTAACTTCTACCCTCTATTATCATTTTCCTATTGGCATTTTATGTGATAAACTCTCCTAATTAAAAAAAAAAAAAAACCTTTTCTCAAATCTAGATCTCCTTCTAGCCACTACCACATCTTTCTTTCTTCTCAAAGATGGAATTGTTTAAAGATTTCTTCTTTCTATTCATTTCCCATGGCCCACTGAAACTATCCTCATGGGATCACCACTAGGTTTTGTAGCGCCAAGTCCCATGGACATTTTTTACATATATCTTACAAAACTCCTAGAGAGAATTTGCCTCTACCGAATGGTCATTTCTTTTTGAAACACATTCCTTCCTTGGTTTGTATGGCATTGATCTCTCTTGCATTTCTTCCAGCTTCTCTGACATCTCCTTCTCAGTCTTAATGGCCTTATTTCCCATTCATATGCCTAAATATTTTATTATTATAAATCAAGCTGGAAAACCTATGTTCTACCATCCCACCTTAAGGCTAAATTTAAATAAATATAGAATTCCTCAAATTCCATGCAGACTCTGACCTACAGATATCTCTTAGGCCCAGTTCCTGTTTCTGTCCATTACAGAAAAGGGCCTCTCACATATATGTGTAGGCCTGCATATCCAAGTCCTTTTTACATTGCACCCCACATACAGTACACAAAGAGTAGTATCTTGGCTGCACTCCAGGCTTATTTATGTGCTCACCAGTAGCACAGTTGATACTCAGGAAGATGGACCCCAGGGATAAGACTGTTCAGATTCTGGAATGAGGCTCAGAGCCATATGGTGAAGGGATTCTAGGGGTCTTAGAACCCAGAGTATCAGCCTGTTCCCTTGGCCCTACAAACTACTTATTCCATGAAGCAAGTCCAGGGCTTTCTAAACATGGTGCTTAGTGCAAGCATCCTACTTGCTCTGGTCTGTGAGTCGGCATAAGAATGCTTTCCACGTTGTATTTTTGACCCTCTCTTCTTCATATTTCACTTGTGCCTAGGTGAAATCTATTTCCACAGCTTCAGGAGTTGTTTTCTATCAACTGCTGATTCTTACATCTATATCATAAGCCCAGATCTCTCTCCTGAGTTTGACACACTAAGTATTTACTGGACACGGCAATTACTCATTGTGTCCCCAGTCTGAATTTATCATCTTTTCTATCTCATTGTCTTCCACTAAGTTTTGAAGATCAGAAGCCAGGACTTTATGCTTCTTTCTCTTTCTCATCTGTGTATCTAGATAATCATCAAGCCTAGCAACTCTATGTTCTAAGTTTCTCTACATTTCATCAACTTTTCTCTACTATCACTACAGCTAGTTCTGGCCACCATGACCTCTACAGCCAAAGACTTCCTAAACCCTCTTGCAAATGAATAACAGGGTACCTCCCTATTTAATCTTTTCAATCCTTGTTACTCTCAGAATAAAATTCCTTAGCTGTAAAATGGAGCATTGTCTTAATTTTGTTCCGTGTTATTGGACTCTCCTTTCTCATTTGTTTCTACTCTATCCTGTATTGAAATACAGTAATTCCTTACTCATAAGTCATCCTATTTTGCCTCCAAGCCTTTCTCCCGCCTGTTCCAATTCCATATTTCTTTACTTGGGTGATGTTTACCATCACATTCTTATTCGTGATACCACTTCCTCAAGCAGTCTTTCTTCACTCCCTGAGTGTGAGTTAAATATTGCTCTTAGTTGATCCCATAGCACATATAACACTATATTCTAAATGATTCTTAAGTTGCTGTCATTTTGTTAAACTGTGAGCTTTTAGAAAATATAGATCAGGTTTATTTAGCTTAACTTTAAAATTCTTGACACTGCAATATTGTAAATTGGGTACCATGAGATAATTCTCACCATTATTTTCTTCAGTTGTCATTATTCCAGTCATTATGCCGATCTCATATTAAGACCATTTCTGTAAATCTGAAATAATACTAACTATCCAAATGTGCTTTCCACCACCACAACATACTAAACATTTATAACAAGTCCATGTGGGCTTCAACAAGTTTATGGAAAATTATTTTGACAGCTATGCATAGTTTTTTTCTGCATAATACACACTTTCCATGAATCTTTGAAGAAGCATTTAAGAAGCATTTATCTGTAACATTTTAGCAGGGTAAATAATTGGATCACATTGGTTTGGTGGCAGAATTTTTAAAAATGAAATATTTTGTCTAGATATGACCATATCTGGAGAAAAATTAAAATTACCTCTTCCTATTTTAAACCAAAACTCTTTTATTGTTAATATTCAGGAATTATGTTAAAGCAAAATTACGTTTATTGAAGTAAATATTAAAGGAAAAACTACAAACATACTTCAGTCAAGAAAAAATATGGAAAACTAACAATACCAGCATTTCTGAATAAGAATGATATATGGTGGAAATGAGTAAGCAGTAAAAACCAAAACATATGACTTTCCAAGTTTATGAGCAAGTCTTTTTGGAAATGAGTACTATTTTTAAATAGTTTGGTATTTCATTCATTTTATCAAGTGATAGAATTTTTTAAAGGTAATTTAATACCAACTTTTAAAATTTATACAGAATAACATATATCAGTTCTATGATTTTCTTCCAAAATAGAAGCTAAATTTGCCAAATTCAGCCTATATACAATGAAGGGACAATAAGTTATAACCAGACCTCCCTTGCTTTTATGATTTTTGAAACTTAGTCACTGTGTCTGAAATATGAAAAAAAAAAACAGTTTCTGATTTATTTCCACCTGTATTTATTCCTTTTCCTATGGTCCTGAGCTCTATTCAAATGAGAATTTTAGTAGAAAATGAAAATAAGACAAACTCACACCTTTCACACTGGATGCATTCTTGTGATGGCATTGTAACAATAATACTTTATGAACTTTTTCTTACTAATCCTTTCATGTTAAGAGTATCTTTGAGTCTCAGTAGAAATAAAGAGTACAAATACTTGATCTGAAGAGTAAAATGTGTTTTATTATAGAATTGAGGTGATTAACTTTATACTTTTTCATATTTTTTAGCCCATCACTAAATATTGTTCTATTATCTCTCCCTCTCCATTTTAGGGGAAAAGCTCATGCGATTCAGTTACCCAGATATTCATTTTGATATGAACTTAACATATGAGAAGGAGGCTGAGCTGATGCAGTCTCATATGATGGACCAAGCCATCAACAATGCAATCACCTACCTTGGAGCTGAGGCCCTTCACCCTCTGATGCAGCACCCGCCAAGCACAATCGCTGAGGTGGCCCCGGTTATAAGCTCAGCTTATTCTCAGGTCTATCATCCAAATAGGATAGAAAGACCCATTAGCAGGGAAACCTCTGATAGTCATGAAAACAACATGGATGGCCCTATCTCTCTCATCAGACCAAAGAGTCGACCCCAGGAAAGAGAGGCCTCTCCCAGCAATAGCTGCCTGGATTCTACTGACTCAGAAAGCAGCCATGATGACCACCAGTCCTACCAAGGAAACCCTGCCTTAAATCCCAAGAGGAAACAAAGCCCAGCTTACATGAAGGAGGATGTCAAGGCTTTGGACACCACCAAGGTTCCTAAGGGCTCTCTGAAGGACATCTACAAGGTCTTCAATGGAGAAGGAGAACAGATCAGGGCCTTCAAGTGCGAGCACTGCCGAGTTCTTTTCCTAGACCATGTCATGTACACCATTCACATGGGTTGCCATGGCTACCGGGACCCACTGGAATGCAACATCTGTGGCTACAGAAGCCAGGACCGTTATGAGTTTTCATCACACATTGTTCGAGGGGAGCACACATTCCACTAGGCCTTTTCATTCCAAAGGGACCCCTATGAAGTAAAGAACTGCACATGAAGAAATACTGCACTTACAATCCCACCTCCCCTCCGATGTTGACATACCTTTTTTAAGAAAGATTATTACTGTCAATAATTTTATTTTGTGGACACAATGTCATTTGCTCTGCCTAATTAAAGTAAGGAAGAAACAGAAGAGAGAAGGGATGGGAATATTGTTTCTTGATATCTTGGCTTGTTTATTTGGTGGGAATTTAAAGCAGTTCATTTCTGCCACACACAGATGTAAGGCATATCATGCTTTGAAACAAAATCATTTGATGCAGATAGATTTACCTAAGAGATTCTAATTTGCCACTGATATCCAAGGATTATGATTGGAGGCAAGGAGTTTTCTGGATAGAACTTTGGCAGTTTAAAATGGTATAAGTAACTATACTCTGCAAAGAATTTGTTTCAAAATGTAAACCGATTTTTTTGTTCTTTAGAAATCATGGAACACAGACATGTTGTTGTTATTTTTCAGTGATAACTCCTAGAATGCATTGAGTTCTTGTGGGTTCTATGTTTACTTACCCTATGGAATTTATAATTCAGTATGTTTTACATTGTACCATACAGCAAAACTTTTAAACTACAGGTAGTTACACCTACAACATATCTGAGGTCCTCTGATCTTATTTTTCTAAACTTAAGCACTGTTTTCCATAGTTTTGATGACTGGCATTTTATAGACACCCTGGCAGCCTTACTTTTAACACCTTTAACGAATAGTATTTTTATGTAGTTTTCAGAATAACATATGGTCTAAGAGTGAATAAGAGACAGTCAATAATTTCCAGAAGGGACTCTACTTTTCATAAATTGGGGAGTTTAAAAAATTGTGATGTGATGGCAGCATAGTATATGTGTTTGTTTCTTAAAGTGTGCTTACAATTGTCACTTTATCAGCATTTAATCAGTGTTAACCAGTCAGCAGAAAAATGTAATTAGGTTAACAGTAGGGGTGGGGTGGGGGAGAAACCCACTTAGAAATCCCTTTTCTGGTATTTCTCTTTTCACTGTTTTTTTCAAGCTGTGACCACCCAGTGTTCTCTCCATAGTTCGTTCATCTTTTACTCTTGGAGTGGAAGATCTTAAAAATCTTGCTGTAGGCTGTTTCTTTCCAAATCTCCTCAGAGCAATTGCTAATTTGACCTGAATGTGGTGACTTGAACCCTTCCAAGGTCATTGAACTAGGGCTATTTATGCTAGTATTTCTTCAATAATAATATTTACTACTGCTGCTGCAAAAGCAAGGGAACTTCTTTGTAACCTGTAAAGTGGACAACAGATCAGACAGACACACAACAAAGTTCTTTCACCTTTCATCAACTCTAGAACTTGGCAGAACCCCGAAGCAAAGGTCCTAGTTTTTCTGTTTTAAAAATATTCAGCTCTATAAGTCCTTGTCAGAAATGAATACTCAGTACCTTAATACCAAATTTCCCTTTCCTCAATCCATACATGATATATGTTGTCATATTTCATGTACAGCTTTTAACTTCGTTTCCATGGGTGCTTTGTGTTTTCTTTGCAGTCCAGCATCATTAGAGGAGGGCAGAACTGATTGATACTGATTCGAGTAATTTTGGGGAACACACTTGGAAGGCAGTACTTGTGTTTGGAAGGACAGGCCTGGCCATCAATGAGTTATTTGATAACTATCTGTGAATACAGGAATTCTGTGGAATAGTTAAAAACTGCTCTAACAGACCACTAAATAGAATGCTAAAATGATGTTTCTTACTCCAGTGTCATAAGAACAGGGAATAGTGGAAAGAGAAGCAAGTTAGGCCCCAAAAACTGCTCTTAACTCATTTTTCTAGTTTACCATTTGCTTATTTACACAACTTTTAAGCACTAACACAGCCTGAACTAGGTAAAAATGGTTACAATGCAGCTCTCTTTTACTAGTCCTGATTGTAATTACTGTTGGAGAAATCTCCAGACTCTTCTTTCAAATTTAAGAGAATGCACCAAAACAGAGGTGTATAGAATGTCAACTGTTCCTTTTTTTTTCCCCCTGAATGCCTTGGTGCATTGTGAACACACAATTGATTCAAAGGTAAAACACGGTTTTGAGACTCCTTTTCCCCCACCTCCCTGAACGTCTCCCCAGTAATAATTAGAATGCTATTTTTTTTTCCTTTTGGATAAGGTAAATAATTCTAACATTTATGATTTTATGTTTTATAGCAGTTTAGGGAAACATATGAGTGCTAGTCAGTATGTTCATAATGTTGGCTGTGTGTGAATTTCTGCTGGCAGCATCTTTGAATTTTCTGCCTGTTTAATTTTGTTTTCAGTATATGAACAATCATGTACCTACCTGCCCTGGGATGAAACTGAATTTAGGTGGCCCTAAAAGTTGTGTAGTTCCCAAGTGAAGACAGTACTAATGCACTCTCCTTTTCTCTGATTTCATCTTTTTGAGAAATTTATTTTACTGGAAAGAGTTAATAGTTATGAAAGTATATTTGCTACAAGTGTATACTTGTATTTTCTAAGCTTCATGACTTGAGGAATAGAAAGAAGTGTGGTAAGGAAAATTGGGACAAGGTCGATTCAAATTTCTAGGTTAGAAAGAATTTTTGTGGACATAGTGCTTTCTGAGAAACTCTGGATGGCTGTATTTTCTTGCTTCACAAAAGGAAATATGCAACATGGTAAACCTAAAAATAAATGTGAGGGTCAGACACCAAATAAATCAACTTTTACATAACAGTTGTATGCCCAGTTTATCTAGGTGAGATTTCACATTACAGGAAGTATTTGAGAAACATGAAAATGGGTTACTCAGTATATTTTCTAGTCTGGCAAAAAGAAAAAAAAAAATTAAATTTCATCACATTGTTTTGCCCTAATTTTGCCCAGAATTTTATCTCCAGCTTGTGTTGGAGAGGCATGTTGCCTCTAATAGTAATTAATCCGTTGTAAAAAAAAAAAAAAAAAATTTAACTGGGCTTTTCAAAACAGTGTAAGTGACTAGTAGGCAGACTGACAAGGATTTCAAGTTGAAGAAACATTCCATTAGGAATTTTCTAGGGGGACAAAATTGAAGAATGAGAGACTAGTATTAGATTTGGCTACAAAGTAGGAAGTTATTCTCCTACATATCTACAGGCAGTTATATGTGTGAATCATAGTTTATGTGTCTGTGTGTCACATACATTCTCTTAAAGCAATTAGAGTGATCAGCTATGTTGTAAGAGTTAAAATTGTAGTTAATGCCTGAGCATTTAGGTGGGTTCACTTTACCAGGCTGTATTAAGAAATATTAAGGAAGTTACTGGTATGCCTTTAGGACTAGTGGCAACTACTAAACCTTGGGTATTGTTATTTACTTCTAGAACAAAATGAAACAATGGAAACAAAGATTAAAAACTGATTGATATAAATTTAAAGAAATATAAATTCCTTGTGGACTAGGAAGAAAATATAGAATAGTTTTACTTGTTGGCAAATAGAGAAATACAAGACTATTTTAGTGATCTTGATAATTTTTTGTTTGTGTTTTTGTGCCTCAGCTGTATACCTCACAAACCATCAGATCTTTATGGTATTTTATAAATGCTTAATAAAATTTCCATCAAAGTATTTCAATGAAAATCAAGTTTTAATTTTTTTTTCCAAAACTTATTTCATCTTTTCTCTGAAATGATTTCTTATGGTGGAAAAAGAGCAGAAGAGGCAGCAAAAATGCAAACAAAAAACTGTACCATTAATTTTAGGTCAGCACTGACACTGGAAGATGTACTGGTTCCTCTTTTTTATTTTTTTTTTAACTTTGGATTAGTCATTTTACAGAAAGGGATAAGTAACATTCGTGCTCATTTTCATTTATATTTTATATATTATAAGTACTAAGTATATGAAGATTATTCTAAAACAAAATTCCCCAAATCCAAAAGAAAAAAAAAAAGTGTGGGGCCAGGGGTGAAATTGAAGCTTGTATATATGAAAGTTATGTTAGAATATTTTTAATTCTCCAGTTTCTGCAAAATAATTAAAATATACAGTAACTGGTCTCTTAAAATCTTGGATTTAATGTATTAAATACGTATAAAAAGTTTTTATATTGGTGCCTTTTTAAAATGCATTGAGAGTGTTGGTTAGCTGTTGTAGCTCTACAACACTTTTATTGTGTATTTTTAAAAATCACTTAAAATTGAGTACTATAGAACTCATCTTTGTGTTCTTATGGCAAAACTGTTAAAGCGATTTCCAATACAGAAACTTTCAGCTTGGCTGTTCAAAGGAAATCTTGAAACCAGATTTTAATACCTTTTTAAGTTTGATAGTATTTCTGAATACCATTACAAGAAAATGCAGGTAAAATATAAGGTACAGTGAAATTTTAGCTGTGAACTTAATTATGGTACATATTTTCATTTTGTTTTAAGGAAAAATAAGTTCTGTATCACACAAGGATTTATTAGTGGAATTTTTGGTCAATAAAATACAGTATTGTCTGGGATTTTCATCTCCAGACTAGTGTTTTTCTAGTCCTGGAACCTCTATCATGTAATCTATTAATGTTTCATGGAACAATGTAAAAAAAAACAATAATCCTTGAACAAAACAAAATGAACAGTCATATCACATTGCTATTCTCCAAAGCAAAATCTCACATGGTTTCGTACCATGATTGTGTATTACTTGCGATGGATGTGTTAGGATATGACAGCTTTTTTAAAAATGAGCTGCTTGTTCTACAAAGCAAATGTCCTGTGACCAAGAAGCTGTGATATGCTAGTGTTTCTATCATAGTGTATTGCTAGGCCAAAAATGATACCTTGAATATTTTTACATTATTGCAGAAACCTAAAATTTTGGAATCTCCATAATGTTTTTATGTAACATTCTATTTCTAGCTTTTTAGTTTTATCTTGCTGTACTGTAAGTTTGTGAATATTTTTCACGTGCACTCTTAGAAATAAGTTCATAATTCTGTTGTTGGGGTTTTTCTCCCATAACATTGCATTTGTAAATTTTCTGTATAAATTGGTTGTGAATTAACCCTTGTCCCATACTCAAGAGTGGTACATGAATGACTAGTTTTTTAAGATATCCTTTTTATTGTGAATAAAATATAAAATTCAGAGGCCCTCTGCTAAGCCACATAAAGCGCAGCATATAACTTCATATAGGTACAAATAAGCCAGTGTGCCGTGAACAGGGCCCTCAGCTTACCTCAAGTGACATACAGTAAGAAAAGCTTCTTGAACGGGTGGAGGTCACTGAATCCCCTACTATGCACTTATCAGGACTTTAATTTCCTAGAAATGGATTTTTTACAAAATGAATACACTGTAACAAGGGAAAAAATCTGGGTTTTGGTTTTTGTTGTATATTCTTGGGCTTTTTTTAAGTAGTTCAAATTCTGAAACAGTGATTAGAAAAAATTTGTCAGGCACTCTCAGATTTTGAACAAAGGTCACTTCCCCTTGTATGTAAACAAATCTCTCTGTTGTCGCTTCCTAAATTTTGTAAATTCTGCCCCTACCTCTCTCTCTTCTGTCAGTCTCTCATAAATGTCTCTGGATGTCTTTATCTCACCTCCTCCCACTAGTTTGAAGGTTAGGTCAACTCTAATTTCCAATTCATTCATTTCTTATGTCTTAATTTTTTGTTTGTGATTGTTGTTGGCTGTGTAATCTGCTGACATATTTTTATACTCAAGTGTAATTTTATATTAAAAAGAGAAGTGGTTGGATTAAAAATAATAAGCTATATAACCCACACGTGACTTTCACTTTCCAACATTAGGTACTAAATTATGAATCCAGAGGTTATATGAACCTATTATGGTATTTTTGCCTTCCTTTTTGTGGGATTTGCATTCTGGTTTGGCTTTCTTCTGAAAATGTTTGGCATGAGTGATTAGATGATCTTTTTTTGGAAGTATTTTAAAAGACGTTAAAGTTGTAAAGCAAAGAGTCTTAATTTTCTCCCCACTGGAGAAAAATGCTTTAACATTACTGTAAATTATTCCAGGTTTGGAGGGGGTCTCCAGGCCACCTATTTGCTCTTAATAGTTGGACCTTTTAGACCATTTGTTATTTGCAACCCCAGAGTGATTGTTTCTACTATTAAGTTTAAAAGATACTATTTTCTTTCTGTACAAGTGCAATACCCCCCTTAAAGTCTTAAAACTATGGTGATTTTTTTTTTCTTTTCTGACCTACTCTTTAGCTAATGACAAAAGGAAACTCTTTCAGATCATAGGATGTGTGTTAAAGGATACAAGAAGCAAAGTGAAAAACACTCCCCAGTCAAAAGATCAGATATGGAAACCACTGTTCTAATCTCATGGCATCTATTTAGGCTACATTTCCATTGAAATTAGTAAACTTTTGCCTGAGCAATGTGTCCTAAAGTTGAAATTCTTACAGACTGAATTTTCTTAGGCCTTTCGACCAGAGCTCTAAATTAACCTAATATTTAATATTTTTATTTCATTCTCTTTTTGAAAGTGAACTTAAATAAAAGCAAAGCACTTAGCTCAATTTTAAACACATCACTTATTGAAGAAAAATTTTTTTAAAATATTTGGAACTGTCCTGTTTTCATACAAATTTAAGTTAAAAAGTATTTTTCGTATCATACATATTTATATGTAGTGTGCTGGATTTCCTTTTCTATACCTGTACTCCTGTAGTAAAACTGCTGTAATGTAAATACACATTTTGTTAAAAGAGAACATTTCTTTGGCATTTCTTTTAAAGGCAGTTACTGCATTTGTATAGTATGTGTCTTGGCCATTTTAGAATATTTTTCTTTAACAATACCAAAGGTAATTAGACTATTTTAAAGACTAATTGCTTGACAGTTTCTAGGATGTTTTGAGTTTTAGAAGCAAAAAAAAAAAAATAGGTCAAACCAGTAAACCTCATTTTTTTTCAAACTAATAATTTGGGGAAATAAAAACTATTGTTTAAACAGAAATATATATAAATATATATGTAAAATTAAAATTCCAGACCTTGTATGTCAGGTTCACTCAGTGTAATGTAGTTTTTTTAAGGCTCAAATACTATACCTCAGAAAATGAGGTTTACTATGGAAATATTGAAACAGTCTTTGCAGCCGTGTGACAAGTCACTCTGCTATATACTGATTTGGAGACCTCCGCTAAACAGTTTTATCACTGCAGACTAAAATATGGGACTTGTATTTTCTTTGTTTTTAATATGCACACATACATGTTTTGTGCATGTATGTGGGTACTGTGTATGTGTATGAGTGTTGTATATGCATGTGTGAGTGTGTGTCTGTATGTGTGTATAAACTAAAGAAGCTGCAGAAACTTTGTAATACTTTGTGAAAAGGATTATATTATAAAGGTTTGTACTGTCTGAGTGCACAGCTACTGGAATAAATTTAGGGAATCTCAGGAACAAGCATATAATTTGTCCAAGATTTATTTCTTCTCAGAAGTGTAAGTGCAGTTTTTAATTCTGTATATTATTTAATATTTTACCAATAAAATAAACTTCTGACATAAAATATTTGCTATAAAAACTTTCTGGTGAAAATTCTGTACGCAAACACGTTTTCCAAATACAAAACACTAACCCATGGACCAGTAGCAGGCTCATCTCAGTTCCCATCCCCGGTGGGGATGCATCATAGTTCCGGTTGCAGATTTAACACGCGATCTGAGCTGTCTCCCTCATTGCTACGTAGTCCACCAGAACAGAGAAAAAAGTATTCCATGACTTGTTAAAGATGACTGCTCTGCTCTTCAGATAATTGTCCCCGTCAGACAATTGTAAGAGGTATGGAAAGTCATAGCCTATGAGACCTGAGGAGAGAACACTGTGACTTGTTCCACAGTGCA